CCTTCATTTGTACTTCAGGATTCACCTGAGGTATCCTGTCCTCCAAGACATATTTCCTCACCCAGAACTTTCTCATGGCCATCAAATTAGAACTGACTGAGCGGATCCTCTAGTGAGTATTTGGAGGCTGCATATCCCACTGGAGAAGAACGTCTATCCTTTTTTTTTTCCAGCAGAAACACTAGTGGATTAGAAATGCTAAAGAGACCCAGTCTTTGGGAAAGCAGAACTCCCACCGTGGACTTGAGCTCTCTTACTGGAAAGTTGAACTATGTTTCCCTTCCATTTGTTTCCATAGTTTACTTCTATCTTTTAACTATCACTTTTAATACAAATACCTATGTAATTGTTTATAAGAGCCCTTGTAAGAGAAATCTCAAGCTGCTAAAGGCATGGTCAGTGGTTCAGATTCATCAACTATTCCTTGGGAGAAATATGAGCAGTTTCTTCTTATAAAGATTTACAGCCATACAAACTGGATCGATATTAAGGAATGAACCAAAAAAACTGTGGATTTTGATGGGTGCCCCCCCCCCAATTTTGTTAAGGAACTCTGCTAGTGCAGTAGTTAAAGTGTTTGGTAAACAATAAAGAAGTTTAAATCTATCAAACACTGGCATTGGCCACTTTGCATCAGATAATCAATCACATTATGATCTACTATGCTAGAAATGACAAAAGAGGAAAAATGGTGTTGTATTCATAGTTTAAAAAAAACCATTTCAAGTTCTATCCTGAAGCACAATGTGAGTTACAGGATAATACCCATATGCATACAAGGAAGACCTGTTACAATGACTAATATTCTGATACACACACCAACAGCTGGAGAGGAGAAATTTGAGGAGTGTTACCAAATTTTTCAGTCTGAAGTTAACCAAGCATGTAACCAAATGTGTTCGTGATAATTGGCGATTGAGATGCAAAAGTTGGCATCGATGAAGAAGCAATCATGGTCAGACAGTATGGACTTGGTAACAGAGATTAGGCTGGAAATGGAATTATTGCATTTTATATATTCAATGATTTATTCATCACAAATACCTTTTTTAAAGAACACAAATGATTACTTTACACACCTGCTGGACTGCACAGGAATCAGTGATAGAAATTGTTGGAGAAGCTCAACATCAGCACTCAAAATCAGACCATGTGCTGACTGTGGAACAGACCATCAATTAGTCACATGCAAGTTCAAAGTGAGTCTGAAGAAAAATGAAATGAAGTCCACAAGAGTAAAAATTCTAACTAATTCAAGCTTCAAGTTACAATACTGAAAGGTGCTATGGATAACATTTTGAATGATCCAGGACGTATCAAAAGAAGATGGAAAGAATACATAGGCACTGTACCAAAAAAGGATGGTCAACACTGAAATATGTCAGGAAGTACTGTATGATCAAGAATCAATTGTAACGAAGGAAGTCAACTGGAAAATTACAAGGCCACAAGAATTGATAGGATATCAATTGACATATTTCAAATAACAGTTGCAGCCCTGGACATGCTCACCAGTCTATGCCAGGAAATTTGAAGGACAGCTGCCCAGGCAACGGACCAGATGGGATCCATATCTGTTTCCATTCCCAAGAAGGTGATTCAACAGAATGCGGAAATTATCAAACAATATCATTAATATCACATGTAAGCAAAATATTGCTGAAGACCATCCAAAAGTGGCTAGAACAGTACAATGACAGAGAATGGCCAGAATCCAAGCTGGATATAGATGAGGCCGTAGCACCAGGGATGCCATTGCTGATGTCAGATGGATCCAGACATGAAAGTTTGTGTTTTAATGACTATGCAAAGGCCTTTGGCTATACATATCCTAACAGACTATGGTTAACATTTAGAAGACTTGTAATCCAGGCCATTTAATTACGCTCATACAAAAGCTAAACCTAGACAAAGAATCTGTTGTCCAAATAGAGTTAGGAAACACTGCATAGTTTAAAATTAATAAAAGTGTGTTAGGGTACCATCCTTTGTCCACACGTATTCAATCTTTATGCTGAGCAAATAATTTGTGATGCCAGACTCTGTGAAGAAGAATGTTGCATCAGGATTGGAGGACAGCCTGTGTTATGAAGATGACACACATTGCTTGCTGAGAGGACTTGAGGTACTTGTCACAGAATATCAACATGGATTACATCTCAACATCAAAACAAAAATCCTCACCACTGCATTGATAAGAAAAATCATTAGAGAGAAAAAGGTTGATACTGTCAATGAATTCATCTTACTTATATTGACAATCAACAACATTTGGTACCAAGAGGAAGGAGATCAAGAGATTTATGGCATTGGGCAGATCTGCTATCAGGGACCTCTCCAAATTACTGAGGAGCAATTATGTCAGTTTGAGGACTAATATGCACCTGATTCAGGCTGTGATCTTTTTTAGTCACTTGCTATGCATCTGAGAGCTGGATAATTAATAAAAATCATAGAAGAATTTACATCTTTGACTTGTAGTGTTAAAGAAGAGTACTGAATATCCATGAACTGCCAAAAGGATAAACAGATGTGTCTTGGAGAAAGCTCAGCCAGAGGCTCCTTGAAGGCAAAGATGATGAAGCTTCATCTCACCTACATTCAGCATGTTGTTAGGAGAGGCTATTCCTTGGAAAGGGACATCATGCTTGGGAAGGTGGAGGGTCAGCAAAAGATAGGAAGACCCTCAACCATATGAACTGACACAGTGACTGTAGCAATGGGTTCAAGGATGTCGGAGATGATGATGACACAGGGTAGGATAGAGTTCAGATCTGGTTGTTCATAGGGTCCCTTTGAGCCATACTTCTCCCGAAGGCACCTAACAACAACCAAACACTTAGGGTGAACTATTTGGTGGGAAAACGATGCTTCTCTAAAAAATGTGTAGCCTAGGAAACCCTATGGAGTTGTCATACTATGTCCTGTGAGGCACTATAAGCGGAAATAAACTATTGAAATGGTTTTGTCTTTAACCATTTACAATGATTCAGGGAATATTTCTATTTTATTAAAGATAATCCCAGGGAAATTATTTTAGAAATAGATGCATAAAGTTAAAGTCAAATAGGGTTTTTGTATAGCCTCAAAGCATCTCTCCCCAGATGTTTATTTACTACAAAGAGGAAGATTATAGTTAAATATCTACTAGAAACCTCCTTCCAATATCCTGGTGGTGTAATGGGTGGAGAGTTTTATTCCCAAACCAAAGGTGAGAGGTTCAAATCCACCAGCAGCTCCATAGCAATGTACTAGAGGTTCAGCTCTGAATCAGTTTCCACTTACTAGCAATGAGTGAGAGGCATTTTCTTAAGCAAATGACCAAGGTTAATTTCATAAGTAGTAAGACATCCAAATGCCATGTATATCTCACATAATATTTCAAAAAGGACAGAACATTGCTTCTGTGATATTCTTCCAAATAATCCTAATAAGTAACTGAAAACCTAAAATGAAATGTGGGGATTATCTGTGGATTGCACATATTTATTTCTCATCTAGTTCCATAGTTAACTGAGAGGCCACTATAATAGAAAATACACATAATTTGAGAATGCTCTAGGATTGATGCACTATATATTCCCAATTTTCATATAAAAACTTTTGTCTGGCCCTTTACCTGAATATAGTTCTCATTTCTTTTTCACTAAATCCGCTGAGTTTTATACATGTGGTTTGATGGCTGTTTCTCCCCATCTCATGCAGCAGTGGTTTAGTTGTGGGAAGACCCACAACATCCAGATTGACTCAGCCAGCCACTGCTAAGTAATTGAGGACTCTTCTCCGATTTGACTGCAGTCATTAGTGGACTGAAGCGATTTCGCAGCTTTGTCCCCAGGGAGAGGACAGAAAAGTAGTTGCCTAGGTGGTAGTAACAGGTGCTTTGTAGTTGTGCTACTGAAAAGCAAAGCTGTGTTGCCTTTTCAGTATAAAATGCTTCTTTGTTTTGGTAACTGTGATTCCAAACTTTATTTTCAACGCTTGTTCTTAGGTATTTATATCAGATTTAAGCATACTTATTTACTCACCTGTCAACAAAATAAGAAATTATTTACACTGAAGAAGTCAAAAGATATGAGCGCAGATACCACGTTTTATTTACTCTCCTTCTGGCTCTCCTGACTAGAACACAGAGGGGTTTGACTTTTCCTTCCATGAGAATGTCTGTGCTTCTATTATTATTTTTACTCTTTCCTGAAAGCTCATGAGCGGAAAAAAAAAAAGCTCATGAGCAATAGTTTGTTACCCATGTTTGGATCCTTTTACAACTAAAAACTTTTTAAAAGTAAAAACTTAGAATCTCACCTGCTGTCGCTTTTGTTATGTTCCTTTGAGTTGAAATAGACCGATAGCCGATCCTCCAAAGGGTTTTCACAGAAGATTGCATTATCTCCCCACCCCCACCCCCCTGCAGACCAGCTGATGGATTCTAACTGCTTGTCTTTGGGTTGGCAACACAACTCCCTACCACTAAGCCACCAGAGCTTCCTCTTGCCTGCTGTTGTTTTGTGCCTTCTAGTTTACTACTCGATGGCACATAACAACAACAACAGTTTACTAGGACTCTTAGTGATCCTATGAACAACAGCTCGGACACCTTGTCTTCTTTTCAGCCAATGTCACCTTGTCTCAGACACACCTGACCCCATTGCCACAGTCACTGTGTCAATCCATCTCATGTAGAGTCTTCCTCTCCTGCGCTGACCCTGTACCCTTCCAAGCAAGATGACCTTCTCCACGAACTGGCCCCTCCTGGCAACATGCCCAAAGTATGTGATGGAGGGTCAAAGTGCTGGCCTCCAAGGAGCAGCTTTGTTTCATCCTCTCTAGGACAGACCTGTTTATTCTCTTGACAGACCATAGTATGCTCAATACTCGTCTCCAGCATCACAACTCAAAGGCAGCAATTCTTCTATCATCCTTCGCACACTCAGTCTCAGAAAGTCACAGAACTCCCGGGAGGCCAGGAGACCGCTGGAAGGTGAGTGGGCGGAAACTACATGTCCCAGCGTGCCCCGCTCGCGAGCACAATGAGCCCTGTCGTCATCCGGGTCACGGGGCCGCGCGTTTCCGTGCGCCACCGGGTTCCAGGCGGGGTCCCGCCCGGGGCACAGGACCCCAGGGCCCAGAAAACTGCAATTCCCAGTATGCCTTGTCACTGCCGCGCCTGCGTACGAGAGCTGTCGCCATAGGCGCGGGCTCTTTTAAAGCGTTGCCTTAGTTCCTTGGAAACCGGCCCGTTTGCAGCCTGACTAATCCACTGGCGTGCCCGATGGCCTGTGGGGTGAGGCTTCTGGGCCCAAGTGGGTGGGCCTCGGGCCAAGGCTAAGGGTTTGCTGGCAGAAATTCACGTTGTCACTCCCTGCCACTTTCTTAATTCCTTAGCTCTATCCATCTTTGCCCACCAGACCCTGGGTACTGATTTATGGCGCTACTGCACTGGATGCGGGTGAAAGCCATTTAGACACGAAATTTGCATTGACCCGACTTCAACCACGAGGTAGCCGGGTACGCTCCAGGACCATGTTTATTTGTATGCAACAGTAGGCTCAAACACAACAGCGATTGTCCCGGACTGCACAGTGATTCATTCTGTTTGACACAGGGTCACTGTGACGCAGGACCGACTGGACCATGCCCAACAACAATAGGATAGGATAAGAGTTATATGTTCTCGGCAAGGTCACTTGGATGTTAATGTTAGGTCCTGGCCACTAGTTACCTTCCCTGACCTCCTTACTAGAATGTAGGTGTCAGGGAGGGTATTCAATGCATTGTGGCTTCCTGGGTATCTGACACTTGATAAATAATTGTTGTCTGATCTCCCGGTTGGGTTCTCCTCCACTCCCTCCCCAGCCTAGTTAGGATTTATTTGCTACCCACCATGTCCTAGGTTCTTTGCAACACTTGAAGATGGGGGTGGGTGGGGGAAGGATCAAGAACCTGACTCTGCTATGGAGAAACTTACAATTAGGCTGTTTCAGTTGCCATCAAACTACTTACGTGCCTGAATTTTGAAACTGGACTCTTGTCTTATAACTGCATAAACTATGCATATACTGTGGTGACTGTGTTGATTACCTTCCGGTTGAGCATGACTCATAGTGACCCTTTGAACAAAAGGCCTGAAGGTTTTCAGTAATGTTATTTATCAAAGTTCATTGAGTTTTGTTCAGTCCATACCTCTGTCCTGAATGTCAAATCCATAAATTCAATCTGTTAGATACCTTTCTGGTGTAAACTAACATTTCTAGATGACACTAGTTCATTCCGTCTTTCCCCTAAAACTGTTTTTACCCAGCAGACTTTAATTGTCTCTGGGTAAGCTTGGGTGCTCATCTCTTCTAGATAATCTACTAACAAATCCTCTCTTTGAAATATGACTGGACTCTGACTGCTTCTGACCTCCACTGCTGTCACTCTGATCAGAGCTAGCAGCATCACTTCTTTTGATTACTGTTGTTGTGTACTGTGGAGTGGAACCAATGCATAGCAGAGCCTAGTTTTTCATAAATCTAAATCTCATGGGAGGAGATTGCCTACCTTTAGCTGGTAGATTCTAATTGCCTGCCTCTGGATTGACAGCACTCCTTACCATTAAGCCACCAGAACGCTCTCTGGATTATTGTACCTCTCCCTTAACTAATCTTTGTCCTTTTGCCCTTGCCCCTCTCCCACCTAGAAGTGCAGCCAGAGTATTCTTGGTAGAACCTAAATTAAATCTCTATACTTATTAAGTGGTCTGTGCATTGCTGTACAGAGGTAGCTCGTGGTTGCTGTGATGCCGAGCACTGTGACACTGATGTGCCAAATGTGAGAATGGTTACCCATGGGGGACAGTGTTTCCTGGAGCTCCCTGATTAAAACAAGCTTGGAAGCAGGAGTGTCATCCACTTCCGAAAGGGCTTGCCTCTGGAAATTCTATAAACAGTGCACAGGCCTTTCATTCATAGGGTTGCTATGAGTCATCTAACTATGGCACTTAACAACAACAACTATACTTATTAGCTCTAAAGCCTCTAACAGTTCTCTAGACCACTGAGTCCAACCTTCATAATGACCTTCAGGTCTCGTTTGTGATCTAGTCTTGGTATCTTCTGACCTTGTCTAGCCATTCTTAGTGTCACTCCTTTCCAGGAAAATTGACTCCCCTACTGTTTGTTGTTTCAACAGGGTTGTTTGGTTTTGGGTTTTCTCCCCCTATTAGGGCTTTCCACTCACTGTTCAGACTTTCTTGACCTTTGTTCCTAGATGGCCAGAGGATTTAATTCTGTACTTCCTCTAAAGCTTGCTCAAATTGCATTTCAGTGAAGCTTTCTTTGCCCATTCTGTTTGAAAAGAAATTCTGCACCCTAACCACCATTTCTATGCTTCTGACATAGTCTTATTTTTCTTTACATTTACTGTCAGTGGACAAACTATTTTTACTTAACATTTCTCTTTGTCAGCTGGAATGTAAGCTCTATGAGGGCAAGGAATTTTTACCGGTTTTGTTCACCGTTCTCAGTACCTGGAATAGTAGCTGAAACATGGCAAACATTTAGGAAATGTATGTTGGATGAATGAATGAAATCAGATTCATGGATAAAAAATTTTTTCCCCAGTGATAGCATTAAGAGCATTGAACTCCTGGCCTGTTATTTTGGAACCAGCAGCAAATAACTGTAACAATTGCAAGGTATCAAATGAAATCTCTGTCCACAGAAATACCTGCTGCCATTAAGTGGGCCCTAACTCATAGCTGACTCACCGTTATGTTGCTATAAATTGCATGAAAGGAGATTGCACATCTTTCTTCCCTGGAGCTCTATTGCTGGATTTGACTTGTCAGAGTGAAACTCCCTATGAACAACGCCACCAGCATTCCCTTTTTTATAGCCACCTGTTGTTGTTGTTGTTGTTGTTAAATGCCTTGTTAAATGTCAAGACTCATAGTGACCCTCTGAACTTTCTTCGGTTCTCCAAGTTCATTGGGTTTCCAGAGGCAAACTATTTTGGAAATGGATACCACTCCTGCTTCCCATATAGTCACCTAGATCATGCTAAAATAACAAATATGTCTTGGAAAAAAGTGCAGTCAGAGTGCTCCTTGGCAAAGATGATAAAACTTCATCTCACATATTTTGGGCATGTTGCGAAAAGAGGCTGTTCCTTGGAGAGGGACATCATGCTTGGAAAGGTAGATGACAAAGGAGAAAAAGACTCTCAACCAGGTCGACTGACAGAGTGACCACAGCAATGGGCTTGAGTGTGTCAAAGATTGTGAGGATGGCACAGGATAGGACAGGGTTCGTATCTGTTGTTCATAGGGTTGCTCTAAGTAATAGTTCACTCAGCAGCACCTAACAACAACTAACAGATTGTGCTTGGAAGGGTGGAGAATCAGCACAGGAGACAAAGGCCTTAGAGGAAATGAACTGACATAGTGACTGAGGCATTGGGGTCAGACATGTCAGAGACCGTGAACTTGGCTCAGGATAGGGCATGGTTCTGAGCCATTGTTCACAGGGCCACTATGAGTCCTAGTCAACTCGATGGCATAAAACAACAGCTCTTACTAGTGTGTTACTTATGATGTTGGTCTTATTCACATAAGTAATTTTCAAATTAGGTGTTCTGGTGGCCTAGTGGCACTGCCAACTCAAAGGCACATGGTTCAAATCTACTAGCTGCTCCAAGGGAGAAAGAGGAGCACTCTGTTGTCGTGTGATAACTGCCTCTGAAAACCCCTGGAGGGTCAGCTATGAATCAGTTCCAACTCATTGACACATGACAACACTTAATAAGGTTTTCAAAGCTGTGACCTTTGGGAATCAGATCACCAGGCCTTTCTTTTGAGGTACCTCTGGGTGGATTTGAGCTATCAGCTTGCAGGTTAATAGTCAAACACTTGAAGTTTTAGGTAAGTAAGGTTTCTTCATCACCCATACTG